TAACATCAAAAGAACAATCTACCATGGAAATTGTTAAACATGCTTTAAACTTAACTTTCTTATACATCTTAACTTTCCATGACCTACACTTGGTATAAGAAAGCTATAAGTGTGTTACCTGGCCTTCTTGGTTGCTAAACCCCTCTTGAATCAATTAGGATTCACCTTATCTTCATCCTTTGCTTTGAAACTCTTTTTCACCTCTTTAACTAAACCAAGCAAGGAAATGGATTACTACTCAACTATAGGTTAGATTAAGCTTAAATACAACTCAAATATACCCAAAAACAAGCTTAAAACACTTGATTTCTCTCAATTCTCAAAAACCCATTTTCTAAAATCTTACCCAAAACTAAAGATTAAGGGCTTAGAATGAAGCTTAAGGGATAAGGAATATGATTCTTACCTTAGTTTCGTCAAATTAGGTTTGAGATTCAAGAAATTTCTATCTTTTTGTTTTCTCTTGGGAAAGAAGAAGAAATGAAAAGAGAACAGGAAAACTAAGAGATATTTTTTGTGGAAGGTTATAAACCCCCTTATTTAGATAGATTTAATGAGTACCTTCCACCAAAAATATCTATTATCTTTCCTCTTCTTTTCTCATTTCTTCTTCTTTCCCAAGAGAAAACAAAAAGATATAAGTTTCATGAATCTCAAACCTAGTTTGACGAAACTAAGGTAAGAATCATATTCTTCATCCCTTAAGCTTCATTTCAAGCTCTTAATCTTTAGTTTTGGGTAAGATTTTAGAAAATGGGTTTTTGAGAATTGAGAGAAATCAAGTGTTTTAAGCTTGTTTTTTGGTAGATTTGAGTTGTAGGAGTTGTATTTAAGCTTAATCTAACCTATAGTTGAGTAGTAATACATTTCCTTGCATGGTTTAGTTAAAGAGGTGAAAAAGAGTTTCAAAGAAAATGATGAAGGTAAGGTAAATCCTAGTTGATTCAATAGGAGTTTAGCAACCAAGAAGGCCAGGTAACACACTTATAGCTTTCTCATACCAAGTGTAGGTCATGAAAAGTTAAGATGTATTAGAAAGTTAAGTTTAAAGAATGCTTAGCAATTTCCATGGTAGATTGTCTTTTGATGTTATGAGCATGTTAATAAGCCTCTATTATGACCCCTGTTGATCAAATAAAACTTTAAGCATGTTTGGGTACCTCACTAAGGTCTTTGAGATTGAGAAGTATAATTTTTCGTACTTGTTTTATGACTTCTGCAGGTAAAGTATCGATACTATATATATGATATCGATACTTGCTCTTTCTAGAGTATCGATAATATTGAGAAGTAGAATTTTTGGGCAAATTCGTGAGTTTCTAGGAAAGAGTATCGATACTCTTTCTAGAGTATCGAAACTTTGGGTCAAAGTTTCAAAACTCCCATAAAGTTTAGAAACTGGGCAGAAAAAAATGTTTAAAAGTATCAAAACTTTTGCAGGAGTATCGATACTCTTGGGCTAGTATCGATACTTTCAGTCTATTTTGGGCAAAAGGTTAGTATTTGAGGGAATTAGACTCGAGGTACCCCAACATTTCTTTATATCATCAAATAAGACTACAAGTGAGAACGATAAGAATTTTTTTTTTCAAAAGTAGAAACAAGAATAGAGTAAGATCAAATAATACTAGTCTTGTTTGAATGCTCGAGAAATGACCAAGGCACCCGAGTTCCTTTAGAAAAGATAGCATAGACGAAAATATAGAATCAGTCCGGATATCCTTAGGTAGTGCACAAGGCACTTAAAGCTGACTAGTTTGGGCGCAAGGTCCGACACTCAAGGAGTGGGCTAGTCTAGAGTGTGGTGTCCGATACAGAGATTCCAGGGTCCACATTCTCAGTAGACTAGCGGGGTGTGTGAGCTCCGAAGATGCAGAACCCTCAGTCGCACCATGATGTCTACCATAGAGTAGAGAGTGAGTATATAAGTATACTCACTAAAGTAGAACATAGCATACCAATAGACCAGATAGCAGTAGACTTGATAGCTTGAGCATTTCAATGAATTGCAGTTAGTGTGTTTTAGTCGTTAGTATGACGCTGAGCTACAGATGTTTCCATGGGCAGGTTAGTAGATCAACCAGTTAGAGAAGAATTAGAGTGATCGAGTTCCAGATCCAGTGCAGAGCATAGTACGTCATACAGTTTCTTAAAGTCCATGTATATTCATAAACCTAGTTGTAATGTATTAAGTTATATAAAATTAGTTATGAGTGGGTCTGTATATTTTTTAAAAGTATTTATTTATTTTGATAGCTCTCTGCTGTAAAAAAGGTTTTATTATATCATTTTATGGTTGGTTTTATTAAAATGTTTGCCTTAAAGTCAGAGAAGTAGAAGAGAAAAAGTTGGTTAGTCAGTCCAGTGGTTTTGTGTGGCATCCGAATTGGGAGACTGTGTGTTGTATTGGTCTAGGGTGTTACAAAGTGTCCTTACCATTTGTCTTTACCAAGACTAATTTACAGGTCAAGATCATTCGGGGAAGAGATTCATGCCATGTATCAATAGTCCTCCCCCCCCCCCCCCACACACACAAAAACAAATAGACTCGAATAACCAATGGTTTTCTTAGAGCACAAGGAAAAACTTTTGAACCATTCACAGAATGATTACAAGAGAAAGTAGGAGATATGAGGTGATACACTAACCCCTCTTTGTCTGTCACTTCGTAACATACAATATTGAACACCATCTCAAACATCAGAACAAACTAATTCAATAGCAAATCCAACCCTTTTATATTAGCTCAACATGCTACGATGGTATTTCGTAAAACAATGAGACTAAAGAAAATTTACTAAATTGTTGACACCACTTGTTGAAAACATGTAAAGACAGATATCCCAATTGACGATGTGCTTTAAATGAAGAATCGATACTTGATAATGCAATTGGTCTTAGAATCCATGTATCAAGAATGTAGTAACAGTAAATTACATGTCGTTTACCAATTATCTCCTTTGAATGTAGATTCCTGTTTTGTATTTGTTTTTTATTTTTGGCAATAATGCTTCGTATGACCTGGTTCCTTGTAGTAGTAGAAAAAAATTTCATTGTTTCCAGTAGATTTTTCTCCCATTTTGTTTATGTGCACACAATTATTCCTCATCCATCGGAAACCAAACTATTAGGCTGTTGAACAACCACAAAAGTCTTAGCGTGAACATCCCAAAATCTGGATTAAATTTCTAAATAAATTTTTATCATACCTTTTGTGAATAAGAAACTGAATTTTAGGCTAAATCTAAAAAAAATATGAATCTAGGAGTGATGTTGGAAATTCTGAGGAGCTTGGAATGCTTTAAGACAAATTTGGAAATACAGAGATTAGTTTGTAAATTCTAACAAAATTAAGGATCAAGTTGAAAGGAATCAAAATTTAAGGGCGAAACCTAAAGTTGGGGGGGTCCAGTCCATGAACCCTAGTAATTTTCAACCCTACTAAACTATAATGTATCTTTGTCTTTGAAAAGTTATGACATAAACCAGATAAGTGGAAAAAGTAAGTACTTACTAAAAAGAGTTGAAAAATTAAATAATATATTCGGAAGACCTTTTTAGGAATATCGCATAAAGTTTAAATCATAGCATAGTAGCCCTTGTATTATATTTCAGATTGCGTTTTAATTAATATTATTATTTGTCATGAAATTAGGGTGAATGCAGATTATAAACCTCGAATATACATCATTCTAATTCATTATTCACTTTGCTTTATAATTTTTTCATTCAAATTACATTCGATCCACAAAAATGTTTGAAAGGTTATAGATAGGGTTGTTCATGGACAGTTAATCGTACTGTTTAGCCTAAATAGTCGGTTAACCGTTATTACAGTTATAAGATTTTTCTAACCGTAATCTAACCATTAAAAAACGATTAACCGCTAACAGTTAACAGTTATTAACGATTCGGTTACAGGTTAACCTACAGTTAACATATTACAATTATTTATCAATTTTTTTCATAATTCATACTACAAAAAGTATATAACTTAACACATACTTACATCGATGTAAGTGAATAAAATAAAAAAGTGTAGCACTTAAAACATACTTACACATATGTAATTATGTACATCTCCAAATTTCTTAGTACCTAATAATAAACACATAATTATATTGGTGCAAGTATTTTTCTATATTTTTAAAGAAATAAAAAATTAAAAATGATAAAAATATATATATATTAAATTATTTATATATAAATTTTATTATATATATATATATATATTATAAATAATAGAAAAATATTTTAAGTTATTTATGTAAAAATATAATAAATTAAAAATATAATTATAAATTTAATTTATTAACGGTTAACCGTTAGTTAACCATTTATCAAAATTTGTAATTGTTAATTATCATTTTTAACGGTTTGGTTAACTGAAATCGTTTAATATTAACGTTTTAGTTAATTAACTTTTAAATATAACAGTTATACCGGTTAATGGTTACGGTTAATGATTCTGGGTTTTTTGAACACCCCTAGGTATAAATAAGCTCATTGAGTAATATATATATATACTAAAAAATAAGGTAAACTATGCATATAGTATTTAAACTATCAATTTTGGTCTGTTTTAGTACTTAAACTTTCATTTTTTTCAAAATCATACCTAATGTTTAGTTTTTGTTTCATTTTAGTAATCCGCCATTAAAAACTTAACGCGTTTAATACCTAAACTATCAGTTTTGATATGTTTTAGTCCCTAAACTTACAATTTTTCAAAACTTAACATTAAGTTTTTAACTGGTACTAAAATGAAACAAAAACTAAACGTTATGAATGGTTTTGAAAAAAAATTAAAAGTTTAAATGCTAAAATGGATAAAAAACGATAGTTTAGATACTAAACGTATAGTTTACCCTAAAAATAAATCTGTTGATATAAGGACTGGGATTGGATGATATAAGAAAAGCATATGATAGTTTGTTACCAACTGAAATTAAAATAAATTGTGCCATCAATGTATATCAGCAAAACAGTATAGATTGAAGTTAGCGGGTGGTTTTGATAAAAATTTGCTCATTTTCTTTAAGCAAAGTTTCAGCAATGTTACTGCAACGGTTGCTGTCGAAAACTTTGGGTGGATCCTCTTCCTTTGCTTCATCAATGTCACCTAAGGGAATAACATCCTCTTCCTCTTCTTCATCAATGTCATTTAAGGGAACAAGATGCAATGTTAAACGACCATTGGATCGATGAGCCTTCAAATACTCACGCTTCTCTTTTCTAAGAATTAACCTCCCATCGTCAGTGTAATATCTTTTCAGAACCATTGGCATGCGAGATGCTCCGTTCTCGATGCGACAGAGCCACGATATCGGCGGAGGAAACTCTCTCTTCTTCACCCTCCTCGGACATGGCTGTTCCCTCTTGCCGCGGCTTTCTCCGCAAACCTGGTTGTCGCTATAGAAATCGAAGCAACTTTCCATGCCAATGTAATCACCAAGGATACAATTAGAAGCCGGTGATGGGGAAACAAAGCTTGAAGTCATCATGCAGAAATTGCAGTGCTTTTCGGTTTGGCTCTTCTTCGGACATATGGTTAAGGCTTCGATACCCAACTGCAATTCAATTTTAAAAAAATTAAATCAAATAAATACATATAATGAGCACAAACTAAACAACCTCATTAGTAGTTGAAGGATAGTTGTTATTCCTAGACAGGTTTTGGGTTCGAACACAACGTCTACAGAGAGTGCTTGAGCATTCATTGTCAAATGATTGAAATTCTTTTAAGCATGTATTATCATAAAATCATCCCATACTAATAAAAAAAATATTAAGAACGAGCAACGAAGCTCACAGAAATCAAAAGCTCAGTCATGGTAGTTTGGGCATCGCTGGAGGCAGCTGGGAATAGTTTTGTAGAAGCATCAGTATTCATAGAAGACTTCTCTTCCATGAGAAATATCAAAAGAAAAAATTGAACGTAGGGCTATAACAATGAAAAAGATTTAGAGATTTTTCTAAGTGTTTGTATTCATTGATAGAACAGTAAACATTTATACATTAGTTTGTTGTGAAACAAGAAAGATAAATTTCTGTTACTTCAGTTTCTTGTCGAACAAGAAATAAAACCCTAAATTACTTTTTTCACAAAAGGAAATATATTTATATTGCAGATCAGTTATGAATCTCGGGAATCAAAAGAGAGAGAGATATGTGATAAAGTCCTTTAATATCATCTAATCATCACTATGTAAAGAAAAAAATTTAATCATCTTTTAAAACTTGTATATTTATTAATTGAAAAAGTTCCACAACAAAACATTAAACTTATTTATCAACACATCTCTTTATTAATGTTATTAAAATAAGTTATTAATAAGGGCAAATTTGAGAAGGATTCTAGCAATGAAACAAAAAGTGATTTTCCTTTATGAACGAGTCAGTCAAACACTCAAAAGTTGGTTTAAAATAATAGTTAGAAAAATCAAGGAGATTTATTTAATTGGTAAGTAGCTTGATATCGTTTAAGCAATGTTTCAAGTTCGAATCCTTCTGTATACGGAACATCTCTGCTGGGAGAATCACCCACCAAAATCAGGCGTGCAATTCAGATCAGTCCAGATCAGTCAATACTAAACCTTAAAACTGGAAGACAAAAAAAAAGTAGTTGGAAAAGTAATTTTCAACCTAAACTCAAATTCCTAACTTTTTATTCTGGAAAATCACTTTTGGATGAAGTTATATTTTATTTTCAATTATTTAATTTTAATTTACAACATATAGTTTAAAAATGAATATTTTTATTTTTTCAAAGTTATTTTTAACAGTAATTCTAAACAACTAAATTTTAAATTATATTTTTTCAAAAATAAGTTTAAAATATTTTTCACAATAATTTTTGAAGTCACTTTTCACAAGCAGTATCAAATTGGATGACATTGTCTTTAGTGATATGCAATTTATTAGTTTAGTTTATATATACGCATAAGTTTATCTAAACTTTAAATCAAATACAAATATGAGTAAGCATATTTAGTCGGTTAGTCAAACTGTTTATCATATTTTCTTAAGTCGTTAATTCTGAACCAACTAAGAGCACATCTCTTCCTTCTCTTAGAATCCCTTTTCCCTTTCTCTCTTGGTAGGATTAGGATTAGATTTAGATTTTGTCAAAAAAATAAAATACAAATATTAACTTATAAGCATATTATAATGATTTAAAAAATTATTTATTTTGCATAAATCAAGCGACCACAATAGTAAAAGAATTGTTGTTATTCTTTGAGGTATCGAGTTCGAGCACTAAAATTATCAGGGGTATGAACATTCAATAACAAATGATTAAAAATTATTTTTAAATAGATATTATTTTGATCTTACCATATTAATAAAAATATTATTTATTTCATTATTTTTTTATATGATTCATTACTGGTTGACAATTCACCAAGGCTGTTTAAATAGTTAGGATTGAATATATAATTTTGGAGCATCGTAGTGTGTGATAAAAATACACCTAAATGTAGTATTTATGATTATTTTTTAAATCTATCAAATGCAATTTTTTTTGGTTAAAAAGGAAAGCTTATCAGCTAACAACGATGTAGTTCCCTCTTCCAGTACATACTGGCCAACCTGTGTGGTGATTCGTGGAGAAGATGCACTTCGAAATCCCCAGGGATGTTATCTTGTCTAGGATGTCTGCTACTTGGTTTTCTTTGCAGAGGACATGTCGATATTGAACAGTCCAACCTCTCTTTTCGATATTTCGGATATGTAACTTGATGGGTGGTGAGCCCTTGTGCCTGTCATTATTTATCAGTAGGTGGAAAGCTTCTTTGCTGTCCGTTTCAACTTCTAACTTTGAATTGCCTTTATCCCGGGTGTTCATCGTTCCTATGTAGACCTCTCAAAGTTCTGCTTCTACTATCGAGCATACCCCAATGTATTTGTAGAAACCAACAATCCATTTTCCAAGGGTTATGATCTCTTATAGCTCCTCTACATGTTGTGTTACCGTTTGTTGTGTTTCGCCATGCGTCTGTATTGGATTTGTACCATCCGACTCGTGGGTGTCCAAATCTGGGGACGTGATCTTTTGCTTTATGGGATGCATGTACAATTTTTGGTTTGTCTGCATGGCTTTACTCGTCCTCAGTTGGAGTCTTCGACTTCTATCTATGATATTTCCACTGTCTGCAGCTGCACACAGAGGGCATTTGTCATCATTTGAGAGGTGTCTACGCTTTCTATCCGCATTCTTCATGATTTTATTCGAGTAGATCAGTCACATGAATATTTTCACCCTTAGCATCCCTTTGTAATTTTGTATTGTTTTCCACAAGCTCTCGTTTTGTTCTACTGTTGGTCCTCGACGAATACCGTAAGCGTTTTTAATAGAGAATTGGTGGTCGCTGCTCGCTCTTCATCCTATTGAGTCATTTGTTAACTCTGGCATTGGCCCTTTTATTGCAGCCACTCGAAGCAATATGTGCATTGGAATGGGGTGCAGATATGATCTTTTGCTATGTAATTGCATCTCTTGTTTAGATGCTAATTGTTTGATTATTTCTGTTGTCTTTTGTTATTTTTGAACAAATAATTCCTGATGGGTGCAGATATGATGTTTTGTCAACCAAAATTGAGATTCGACTGCTGAAAGCTGAACCAATTCAATGGCAATCTCTTGAATTCAGCAGGGAAGTTGCTGTTCCCCAAAGGGTTAATGTATCTTCAGTTAAATTGATCTGTTTCATGTTGTCTTTATTACTAGATGTTAAACCATGAGACAACCAAATGTGACACCAATAAGGGATGAGCATTCGATCGAGTCGAGTCAAAAAAAATTCGCGTTACTCGAGTTGAAGAGTCGCATTTTATAACTCGGACTTAACTTAAAATTTTTCTAAGTCGAGTTGAGTTGTTCAAGTTTCTATATAAATTTAATTATAATTATTTATTTATAGTACGGATTTATTCTAATTTTTTGACTTTCTCTAACCATAAAAGATATATATATATATATTTCTTCATATTCTTTTCACATTACAACACAATGTTATTTAATATATCACATACAATCTAAAATTATAAAATAGATTTAAAATATTATATTCCAAAGAATGTATTTTGAGGATAAAATATTAATAGGAGTATAAAGGAGTCAAAGAATTTATGTGAAGAAAAAATTTATAAACAATTATAGTTAAAAGACTAAATTGAGTAAAATGCAAAGGTAAACGACTAAATTAAAAAATGAGAGTATAGTTTTAGTAAAAATAAGAATTAAAGTTACATAGGTATTTTATAGTGGTAGGCGAGCATGTAATTTAAATTTGATAAAAAAAATGTACTTAAAATGAAAGATGAATTGAAGAAATACGGGAATCATGCAAAATTGAGTGACTAATTTAAAAAAATAGAAAATTTGTTATCAAAATTGGAATTGAAAGTACATATGTATTCTATGATGATTTAGGAGGATGTAGTTCAAATTTGGTGAAAACTTGACTTAAAATGGAGGAGAATTGAAGGAATGAGAAATCATGGACAAAATCGCAAATATGTCAAAATATTCATCCAAAATTTTGTTTTCTCAAGTTACTCGAAATTTTGAAATCTCAATTCAATTCGAACTCAGAAATTGAATTGAGTTGACGGAAATTACTCGATTTGAATAACTCAAAATAAAAAAAAAATCAATTTTTTTAGTCGAGTCGAATTTTATCCACCCTTACCTCATGACAGCCGGCCAGTCGATGGCAACATTTTGTCGTTTGATATGTCGAATCTTAATAACCCACTCATGATCACAGAGCTCTCAAATTGCGTCAACCAAAGCATTGCCAGCTAAAGCCTCAGACAAGTTGTTCTAAATTTGTCACCTCGAAATTATAAGTTTTCAGAAACACTACTTCACCAACTAGACGATTACAACGCACAAGGACATCCTCTTTTTGCACATAGTCATGATAGAAAAGAACGCTTCACCAATACGTCTAAAGATGAATAGGCCAATCACTATTGGACAGTGAGAACATACCTTAAAGGCTTAAGTTCTGCAGGAACCAATCCTCAAAAGGAAGCGTAAGGAATTCCCGTAAACGTGCCGGTTGTATCACCCTTAGCTAAACGGACATCGCCATTTTGCAACCATGTACTGTATGGTCAACATCCTCTGCTCCTCTACCACAAATACGATAGATATCGATACTCGACAAACGGCGACGGGCCTTTCCACATTCGTTAGAAGGCGATCCTGAATTGCTAACCATAAGAAGATTCATACCCTTTGTGACACCTCAAGCCTCCAAATCACTTTCCAACTGAGCTGGTTATCTTCATTCCCCTTTTGTCCCAAAGACAAATAGGCTGATTTGGTTGTGAATCTCCTATCTATCTCTCACCGCCAACTATGAGAGTCAGCACCCAAATGATTAATTGGTGAGCCAGCGGCCACAACACGTTGCACAATGTGGCTTAGGAGGGCAGTTGAGATTTTATCCCAATCCCAGGCTCCTTGGGTGAGGCACATGTCACGGACAGAAGTTGGATTTGAGGAGTCCGAGCCAATGTAGGAGAACACAAGTCGGTCCTCATCATCTAACCAATAACCATACCCAAAATTTGTTGTTTGACCATTCTAAATGTTCCAGGAGATACTTTCATTAAAATCATTTCATGCGCATTGCAACCCCTCCAAAGCCATGAGCCACTCACATGACTTAAAGCGCTCCTCCCACTTGTATTTAGGACGAATAACCTATAACTATAATTTATCAGATCTAGATATCAGTTGAAAACCGACTTTCACCAAGAAGGCTCTACTTTAGCGATGCAAGTTTTGCAACCCCATTCCCCCATTCTCAATTGGCTTTTGTATTTCTCCTAAGAGACAAGAGGAATATCGCTATTTTAATTATTCGAACCCCAAATGAACGTCTAATAATTTTC